GTTAGAAGTGTAAAGGTCTTGGATTGAGATATTATTAAATTTAGTATTTTGTTTAAGTAGTAGGTCAGCTTTATTTGTTGTGATGATATAATATTTTTTACATCGATAATTATGAGTACTTACATGTCAATTTATGAAAAGTATATCCTAACGATGCCAAGCGGGTAAGAAATGCTATGATCCAGTACATTGCATCAGCATTTGGCGGTGATGATTTAGTCGCAGAATTCGTTTTGCTTCAACTTTTGTCTAGAATGTAAGGAAGATCAACTTTGTAAATTTCTTTATTTAACATTACTTATCTAATATAAAATTTATTTTGCCTAGACATCTTCGACAAAATGGTCTCGCACTCGGAAAGCTCGCATTAAATATCAGCAATGCTCCTATTGTTGCAAATGGGAATTCGAATCACGATATAAGTCTCGAACACGATAATTTATTTGCAAAGCGAATTTCATTTGTTCTCGCTTCACTTTTACCAAAATATCATGACCTTCCGCTTACTCTATCCACACTTAATGAAGTATTTTATTTCCCACGTAGCAATATTGATCTGGATTCCGGTGTTTTACAAGTTAGTAAAGGCACATGGTTTTTGATTGACGAGACAGTGCTGAAAGAAGGAAAATTGTGCGATACTGGTATGTTTTCAAAAGTTTTAATTTACATTGAAGATCGTTCAGAATCTAATATCATTTATATATTAGGAATCCGTAACTTGAAAGCTTTGAACGATATATTGGACCATCAGAAACTAAACTATACTTTCCCATTCAATAATTATGAATTCGATACGGATATTGGAATCATTATATTATCAAATGCTAAATCATTCCTTAATGTTTGTGTTTTTAATATTAACCGATGGATTTATAAACTATTTCAATTTTCTAATATTTTCAAATCTTTTTATGCAGTATGATTGTAACATTCCTCTTATTCAAAAACCCGAGAATATAACAATTCTAGATGTACCAGAAGATACTTTAAACCAATTCAGGAACTTTATTAGTATTCTTAGATGGAACGACTTTAATATCCCTGAAAATATTTCAGATGTATAATAAGTTTTTATTAGTTGATTCAAACTGTTTTTTTTTTTTATATTTTATTCAAGAATTTTAATAATTTGTATCCAAATTTTATAGTATATTCAAACAGATTACGTAACTCAAAGACAGAAAGCCTCGAGAAATGGAATACCTTTGATGTCTCAAGAAGATTTAATGCTGCTTTTAAATTTATCAAGGTATGTTAAGAAAGCTTATATAACAATGATTAAACCTTATAATTTTTAATAATCATTTTCTATTAGATTGGTTGGTTTGAGTTTTGGCTCATCAGAATTGACAAAAGAATTATGGGAACATACCAAAAAATTGGATGAAGCTAGAAGAGATCGTATCTACCAAAAGTATAATGTATGATGACCTTTATAATAAAGTGAAACTCTAAAGCTCGTTAATTTTTTTTCTTTATTATGTAAATAAAACTATTCTGCAAATAATGAACTAAAATTTAAATTTACATTAACTAAATTAACTTAAAAATTGTTTAAAGAAATACTAGGCTGTTGTAGCTTTGACCTTTTTTATTTTCTTTGCCTTTAATTTTTCTTTCTTCCTTTCTTTCTTTTTCATCGAATCCATATGTACTTTAAGTATATTACTATATCCCGTAAAAAATTTGTCTGTATCAGACGGTGAAACCTAGAAAAAGAGAATAAATAAATAAATTGCAATTCGATTCATGCTAAAAATAATTATGATTAATCCTTACCAAAGTACTGATCTTAATCTTTCCACACTCAGCTCTAAATAAACAAGGATATTCTTTATCATCAACATCTTCTTTCTTCAAATCCTTCTCCAAAGATTGATCATCCACAGCTTTGCTTTTTTCTTCTGCTTCTCTTACTTTTTTCGCATTTCGTGATTCCCATGTATCTAAAATGACATTTAGATTTTGAAAAAAAGAAGTTCATAATTATAATTCTTTAATGTTGTTTAATTTTTTTTTTTATAAATAAACTTCAAATATCGTACGTCTTTTCATGGTAAGATACACTTTCTTTGAAGTTGGTTTTGTTTTTTCAAAGAGTTTTGTGAGTTGTGTAAGGAACTAAGTTTTTATGAATTTAATATTTAATAATTAATGTCCTGAATGAAATAGCTTGAAAATCTCAGCATTCTATTACATACCGAATCATTATCTAACACAGTCATTTATAATTATTTTTTTTATTTTTAAAAATAAAAAAAAAAAAGAAAATATGTGAACGTTTAAAAGAAAGTTCGGAAAGAGAAGTTCGGTGTACAAATGATCAGCAAGAAATCACATGATTCTATTGTTTCACAAATCACGAATGACGCCAATCAGTTTGTTTATCTAAAAGTTGTGTAAAATTCCTCAGGATTTTATTTTACTCTTTATCTTACAATATGGAAAGCAACAAATTAAACTTTAACCCTTCGAATATGAACGAGTTTGAAGATAAACTTGGTCTTTCTAGAGTTAGGAAAAGAAGGGAAAGCGCTGCAATTTTTAATGGATTAAATGAAGGTTATAACTTGTAATTTCTGAAATGTTTTTTAGAAATTATTTCACCCTGTTAAATTGCCTAATATTCTTTTATTTAAATCAAACTAGATACTTGTATAAATTTATTGAATGATCATCTTGAATTATCTCGAGAATTTGAAGAAGAGGATATTCGATTGACAAAAGAAACCTCTACACCTGAAAATCATATAGACATTGATACGTGCGTTTTAAATTTTTAATGAAACTATACTGTCATTCTTGTTCTTGTTTCAATTTTAACAATAAAAATTTTAGTCTCGCACAACATATGAAAAGAGACATTGAATTCTCGTGTTCCAACAAGGATCCGATTATGTTTTTGTCACAAAATGACATTATAAACGTGTCACATAATCATTCAATCTTTCCTTCGGAATCTACGCGTGAAGATGTCATCAACACAGATTCTTCCTTAGGCATGGATGGTGGATATCAACAAAATGTTCGAGGTATATTTTGATATTATTTAAAGATTATCTATGATCATATTCCCTTGTTTTTCCTTTTAAACTATACGATCATATCAATTTAAGCTATAAATGATACTACGACTAATTACGATACAAGTGAAGCAAATAGAAGTAACACTCCATGCCAAAATCATTCTTTACCAATGGGAGATAAAACAAGTGATGAATCACTTCCTATTGAGCAACGCGCACGTAATACTTTGAAACAATTTAAAGAACTTGTATCCAAATTAAAGACATCGAGTGTAGACGCGCAACCGTCCCCAGCTAAATCTATCTCAAATTCGGAGCTGAGAGCAAATGTTTCTCACATAAAATGTCCGGATGATGTTGTGCATTTGGTTGACCATCTTTTGTATTCTCCAATCGGAATACACCGAACTCATCCTGAGCAAGAAATCAAAGTACAAGAATTACGAGAACCATGTGACTTCGAGAATAATAATGATGATTCGCCCTTAAAAAAATATTCTACTAAAGAATTTTCACAATCCGACCTTTTCCCTGAATATAATAAACAAGAAGTCTTGTCACAAAAAGATGATGTGATAAAAACATTCATAGATCAAGTAGATTTTCAACAGTCGACGTCTATGGAAGATTTATCCGAAAATCTGAACGGAAAAATTGAATTGCGAAAAAGGAAAAGATCTGTAGTTAAAAAACCTTTAACTCCACATTTTAATTCTACAAATGTTTCAAGTAAGGAAATTAATCTATAATTTGAAGCATATAAAAGTTAAATTCTTATCTTTCTTTTATCTCAGATAAAATTCAAACTAAATCGGACAAGTCCCCAGCAGCCAAAAAGACGAAGATACAAGTATCAAAGTTGAGAGCACCTACTTCCATCTTACGCAAATTTAGGTAATAATGCATAAGCTTTTGAATTTATTAAATGTGACAATTGAATTAGAAAATTTGAAATAAATTATTTACATAAGAAACTTATAATTATTTGATAATTTATATTTTATTGGCTATTTATTGCGTTAATGTAATTATTTTTTTTTTATTGTTTGATTTAATATATTAAGAATTTCTCTATTTTCAACAAAATTATTTAAATTAACAAAATTGAATAAATATTTTTTTAAACGTTTATTTATAATTTTAATTTTTGATATACTTGTAATTAAACTATTTGTACATATTATTAATAAACTTATTATAGGTTTTTTTAAGTTTGGATTTTCTTTTTTTATAAAAAAAAGAGAACATAAAAAATATTGATTTTTAAAATCATATTTAACAATTTTTCTTATTTTGCCTACCAAATCGTTTACACAAAATGAAATTTCAATAATTATTTCTATATATCAATAATTTTGATAAAATTTTGCAAATTCAACATCTTAGTAAAAGTAAAAATTTAGTAAAACTAAAATTTAAACATTTTGCTAAATCTAAAATGAGTTTAAACAAACAATCTTAATTATAACATTATATCTAATATACTAAATTTTTATCTATATTTAATAATTATTTGAATATTTTATTTTCAATATATTGTATTTTTCTAATAATTCATTTTATCATATATATCAAGATATTAATAAAAATATTATATAAATTCATCTTTATAAGATGTTATAAGCATAATATATTTTTATGTCATAATACAAAAATAAAACTTATTATTTTAATTATTATTTAATATTTATTAGTTTAAAATACTATTAATAAATAATTATTAGAAAATTAATAAAAATTCATAAAAAACTTTTTGTAAATTATTATTAAAAAAAGTATATGCTTTGATTATAATAACTATTTTAGTAAAAATATTAAAAGGCATTTAAATCTATTAGATTTATAAGTATTATTAATATTATTAAAGATTATCTTATTATAAAAATGATAATAATTTTATCATTACTGATAATATCATAAAGTTTATAATAATTCATTATTGTAAGAATAATTAAAATTTTATAGTAAAATTTATTATTCTATAATTTAAAATGATTTAATTCTTTTATAAAATTAGTAAAATTAACTTATTTGCTTATTTTTTCTAAATAATAAAATCATATAAATTATTATAAATTCAAATAACAATATCTAAAAAATTATTTTAATATCACTATAATATATTAAAAAAAAAAAAATTTTCTTTCTTAAACTTCAATTAAAATATTTATTATTTAAATATAAATTGATAAAAATTTGTTGATATTATAGAATAATTATATTTTAATACATAAAAATTAAATACTATAATTTATTATTTAAATTAATAAAATATAAATTATATATTAATAATTATAATATTATAAAGTTTAATTTCTTTAATTTGAATATTTAAAATTTTATTAGGAAAATATTTTTATTATAAATTATTATTTTTTTTTACATATTTGACTTTTCAGATTTTTTTTAAATAAATTTAAAATTTTTATTATTTTGTATATTTTTAACTAATAAAAATAAAAGCTTTATAAAGTAAAATTTATTCTTGTTTAATTTTATATAAATAAACTAATTTTCAAAAGATTTAAAATAAGAAAATAAATCACAATCATAAGTATTTTAATAGTTTTTACTATTTTTAAAATAAATATAATTATATAAAAAACATGATAATTTTATCATGAAAAATTAATAAATAATAATAGAATAGAATAATAATAAATAATAATAATTTAAAATAAATAAATGATAATATAATTATATAAATATATCATTTAAATTTAGAAAATAAATAATATATTTTTATAACTATATTAAAATTTTTTTATATTATAATATAATTAAATATTAATTATTTTTAATAATTACTTAATAAATATTATTTTTACTTTAAATCTTTTAATTTAAAAATAAATTTAAACCTTAATATTTAAAAAATAATATAAAAATTTTTTTTTTTAAAAATAAAATAAAAAAAAAACAAATTTAACAAATAAATTAAATACTTTTACTTAAAATTTTTTATAATATTAATAATAAGATATTTATAACTTAGTAAAATTAAAAATAAGATTTTATAAATATTATTTATAAATAATATTAAAAATGAAATAAGATAAAATATATAATTTAATTTTTTTTTCAAAAAAAAAACATTTATTTATTATCTATATTTAAATAAATAATCTTTTATATTATATTTATATAGTTATTATTTTTAATTTATATATATAGATATTTTATAGTAAAAAGGGAAAAAATTACTAAAAAATTTTTTATTTTATAAGCTAAATATTATTTTTTTAGTAAAATAAAATCATATTTAAATTAATTCTCTTTTTATTGTATAATATTAATTAAATATATTAAATTATTTTTTAAAATAATTATTAAATTAAACAAATTAAACAAAATTTTATTTATATTATTATTAGAATTAATTCTATATTTTAAATATTTAAATTAAAAGAACTATAATAATTAATATTATTTATTAAAATTTATAACTTTAATTATTCTATAAATATTTAGAATTTCTAAATAAATATTGTTACTTTTATATCTTAGAATTTAAATTATTTAGTTAAATTTAATAATAAATTTTAAAGTAAGTTAGTATAATATATTATAATTAAATAAATAGATTAAAAAAAAAAGTATATAAAATATTTTAATTAATTTTTTTTATTTATTATTTAAAATTCATAAAAAATTTGAAAAAATCACTTTAATGATAAGTAAAATAATCTATATAAACTAATTTATTGTAGTTAATTATTTATTAATTATAATATAAATATATAATAATAAAATAAAATAATCTAATTAATATAAAGAAATAAAACAAATTAAAAAAATTAAAGTAAAATAACTAAAGATTTTTCAAGCAAAATAAAGAAAATAAAATATATTGAATTATAGAAAAAGTAAAAAAAAATAAAAAATATATTAATTATTACTATTTTTATTTAATATAATACTATTTTTAAATAATTTTATTTCTATTCCTTTAACTGTTTTATCTACAAATTTGTAGGCAATTTTATTTATTAATTATAACTATTTTTAATTATTTTTAAATATATTATTAAAAAATTAATATTTTATAAATTTTATAACATTTTCTAAGTAAATATTAAAAAAAAAAAAATGTAATTAACTAGTAATTTTTTAAAGATAAATAAATAATAAATTATTATAAAAAAATTAAGATTTTAATCTTATATATCTTGTTATTTATCAATTTTAAAAATATAAAAATATTACTATTTAATAGATATACTAAACTTTATATTTTTGTAATTATTAAATAATAAATTATTTTTAAAATTAAAAAATTAAAAAATTAATATATATTGATAATTATGAATTTTAAAAGTTTAAAATACTACTATTAAATATAGGTATTGAAACCTTTAGAAGTATTTCTGAAAGTTTCAGATTATGGTATATATAAATTGAAACTTGATCTATAACTAAATCTTTTACTGAATCCAGAAACCATTTTTGATCTCTGAAAAATATTGATTTTACAAATATATATTGATTTTCTAAAATTTATTTTATAATCCTAAACTTTTATTAAATCCTGAAACTAAATTTTATTATAAATAATTACTATATTAGATATCAGATTATGTAATAATAATAATCTATTTTTCTTTAGAAATGTTTAATAATAATGAACCTTTAACTTTAAAAAAATTAAAGTTTATCAATTTTAATGAACATTTAAAAAAACCTATTTAGAGATTTTTTAAATAAGTGATAAAATAGATAAAGGGTATTATGTTATAACATATTTAGCATGTAATCAAACTTTTCAACTGAAAAGACTAGTATAATAAATAAACATATAATTAATTATTTAAAGGTAAACTATTTAATTTGTAAAGCTATTATATATATGATAGAAATACATAAAAAGTTTCCCTTAATACTACCAATTCTAAATGTAAAAAAAATCAAGTTGAGAATAATTAAATCATTTTAGTTAATTTTTATGAAAATTCAGAATTAAGTAGAGAATAAAAAGATATTATTGATATAGCTCTTATTAAAGTTTTTATATATTGTAGCTTACTATGACATCTAATTGAATATTCATTTATCATTGAGCAATTTCAGCTAAATTATAATCTACTAGATTGAAAAATAATTGTTGATATATTATTAACACAAAAAATTTTGTGAATTAGTGTAAAATGTTATAAGATGTTTGATGAAGAAGATAATTTAATATTAGATAAATTTTGGTAGTTTTTTATTTGTAAATATAAAATTTTATATATTTTATTTTATTTTTATATAATAAAATCTTAGATGGATAGACAAGTCCATTAGGCAAACCTTTTTGGAATTTTGTCATTTATTTTAATAATAGAAGGGATCTTCATTAGAAGATTAAGAATTTTTCTATTAAAAGTCATATAGCTGAATTTTTTGCATAATAAATACAATTAGTTCTTAATAATATTGGTATTTAAATTTGAAGGATTTTTAACAGATACTGGATTAAATATACATTTTCTGCATAAAATTTAATGGGACCTATTAATTTAATCAATAAATATTTTGTTAACGATTATTTTACTGATATGATCACTATACTAACAATTATTTTACCAATATGATTATTTTACCGACATGATCAATTTATTAACATAATTATTTTACTAATATAATTATTTTACTGACATGATCATTTTACCGATAATCAAATATTAATTATTTAAGGATAGCCACTATTTAACGTAGATCAAACAATTTTTCTCTTTTCTATTTTTTTACTTTACTATTTTTATTTAACTTTCTTAATGAATAATATTATTATATAAAAGAAGATATGGATGATGATGATCTAAATGATAACGTTAATCCTTAAGAAATCATATATGTCTTCTATGTCATCTATGACATCTATAGCATTTATTTCTTTTATACATTATATTTTTTTTA